GTCTCTCTCTATCTCTGTCTATCTATCTATCTATCTATCTATCTATCTATCTATCTATCTATCTATATATATATATATATGAAAGAGATATATACATAGGCATACATATATATATATATATATATATATATATATATATATATATATATATAAAGACATATACATAGGCATATATATATATATATATATATATATATATATATATTAAAAATGGACAAAGTCCGACAATTTATTTATTAAAGACATTTTTATGTTATCGTTCTTTTTTATAGATACAAGTATTTAAGTAAATGCTCTGTTTATAATAAACATTATTAAATAACATTTACCGGCCTGAATGTCCGAGAAATTTTCATAGAAAATATTCGTCCTTTGACAGGATTCGAACCTGCATCCTATACGGAACCGTCATTTACGCTGACGTGCCTTACCGATCGGCCACAAAGGAGCGTTCTGTAGGCAAGTTTATAAGCAGTAAATTCGACCTTGCCTACCGAACATCTGAAGACACTGTTACGTTTTCATCCACGATGCCTTCGGTCTGTGCTTGATATCCACTGCATGTCTCACACCCCAGATACTGTTTTTTTTTCTACAAAGGGACAATTCACTTTTTGCGGAAGCACTTCTACACAAACACAAATTTCCAAAATAAATAATGTATGGAGAATCGGAAAATGGTAAAAGGACCGTACCACAAATCCAACTTTGGTTACAAAGATTGCCTTAAAAACGTCACTATACATGTTCAATATTAGTCTGGATATTTGCGAGACTATTGAAGTCCGGGTTTCTTGGGGAGCTGGTAAGGCTGACGGTATCAAGATCTTTCATGTGGCATCACAAATATACCCAGAACTGGAAAGATATTTCGGAAGGATACCTGAAATTTCATGTAGTGCCATCCCGGCCATATGCCGAATGTAGTCCTAAATATCTGTCCAGCGCGGATCTGCTCAGTCGCCAGCGGTCACACCAACAATCTATTTTATATAACGATCTCGTAATGAAATGCTTTAAATGCCCGAACTGCACTAGGGTGTGAATGTCTAGGTCGAGCATGACAGGACACATTGGAAGTGATAATGATCAAAGTCACCTTTCATCAGCTGGATATGATTTGATAGGCCACATATGAGCTACAGTGGTTCACACCACCTATGATTTCGGTTTTGTGGGTGAGTTTAAATGAAGGGCTGTACATGTCAGTGATGATCATACTCGCTTTGTGAGTCGAGAGCCACCATATATATATATATATATATATATATATATCTGTGTGTGTGAGCGTGTGTGTGTCTGTTAAAATATTTCTTTCAATATCAGGTTTTATTATATCTATCTATCTCTATCTGTCTCAGTATATTAATATCTATCTATCTATCTATCTATCTATCTTAGCCTGTTCCCGTGTAGGCATGTATCAACATATTTCAGGCTGTACATATTGTTCATATCTATCTATCTATCTATCTATCTATCTATCTATCTATCTATCTATCTATCTATCTATCTCTTCATCTCAATTTTAGTTTTCTCGTCTCTCTATATAACTAATAACGCACAAAATAAATAGCGAATCCATACATGGTTAACATTCAACTTGTGAAACGTCTAGGCGTCAAACTACGCACACATATTTTGTCAAATAAAATTGGGCTTATATGCTTAGATAGATAGATAGATAGATAGATAAGCAGGTTAAGATAGATAGATAGATAGATAGATAGATAGATAGATATGCATGTTTCATTAAAAACGACAGACAAGGTACTATGTTTAAGCTTTTCATTTAATTTTTCTTGTGTTCTAACAAGAGCTTTCTTTTCTGGTCAAAGGGTGTGTAAGAACTGTCCAAATGTTTTATATTACCGAGCGCTTTCGGCTATACCTTTAGCCATTATCAAGGATGATTCGATTTTTCAGCTTAATTGAGTGTGTGCGTTCTGTGTATGTCTTAGTGGGTGGTAGGGATGTTTTTAATTTCCGAATTACCCTTTGTCCAGAAAAGAAAACTGAGAAAGTGAGAAACCTCAAAGATTTTTAGTTACCATATGGATTTGTTTTATTGCATATATTATATTTTATTTTTTCATATCGAGAATAAAATATAATATATACCTCAAACAAATCCACATTATCAAAACGTTTGAGGTTTCTCTCTTAAAAAATATAAATTTTATCACGTCGGAACAATTATAAGCTTTTCCATACATATATATATATATATATATATATATATATATATATATATATATATATATATATATATATGTATGGAAAAGACGTGATAAAAATTTATATTTTTTAAGAAAAGAGAAAACCTCAAACGTTTTTGGATACAATGTGGATTTGTTTGAGTGTATATATTATATTTTATTCTCGATATGAAAAAAAAAAAAATGTTTGTATGTATAGATAGATAGATAGATAGATAGATAGATAACAGAGATACCTAGTTAAGTAGATAAATAGAAAGAAAGGTATGAACATACTGAGATAGATAGATAGATAGATAGATAGATAGATAGATAGATAGATAGATAGATGTGAACAGACTGAGATAGATAGATATGAACAAGCTTAGATAGATAGATAGATATAAACAAATTTACGTAGATAGATATGAACAGACTTACGTAGATAGAGATATAGATATATATAGATAGATAGATATAAACAGACTGAGATAGATATGAACAGAGTGAGATAGATAGCTAGATAGACAGATAGATAGATCGATATGAACAAGCTAAGAGAGTTTGATAGATATATAGATATAAACAAATTTACGTAGATAGATATGAACAGACTTACGTAGATAGATAGATAGATAGATAGATAGATAGATAGATAATGAACAGGCTGAGATAGATAGATATGAATATGAACAGACTGAGATAGATAGATAGATAGATAATAGATAGATAGATGAATGAATATGAACAGACTGAGATAGATAGATAGATAGATAGATAGATAGATGAATGAATGAGCAATCATTTTTAAGACAGCTTGGTATCGTGCTACCTACCCCATCAATATGCACATTTCTATCTATCTATCTATCTATCTATCTATCTATCTATCTATCTATCTATCTCAGTCAATTCATATCTATCTATCTATCTATCTATCTATCTATCTATCTATCTATCTATCTATCTATCTATCCACATCTCTCTATCTCTTTATCTCTCTCTCTCTGTATATATCTATCTATCTATCTTTCTAGATATCTTTTCACATCTACCTATCTATCGATCTATCTACCTACCTATCTATCTATCTATCTATCTATCTATCTATCTATCTATCTATCTATCTAACTTTTCACATCTCTCTATCTCTTTATCTCTCTCTCTTGTATCTATCTATCTTTCTAGATATCTTTTCACATCTACCTATCTATCGATCTACCTACCTACCTACCTACCTACCTACCTACCTACCTACCTATCTATCTATCTATCTACCTACCTACCTACCTATCTATCTATCTATCTATCTATCTATCTATCTATCTATCTATCTAACTTTTCACATCTCTCTATCTCTTTATCTGTCTCTCTCTGAAACTATCTATCTATCTTTCTAGATATCTTTTCACGTCAACCTATCTATCGATCTATCTACCTACCTACCTACCTACCTATCTATCTATCTATCTATCTATCTATCTATCTATCTATCTATCTAACTTTTCACATCTCTCTATCTCTTTATCTCTCTCTCTCTCTGTATCTATCTATCTTTCTTGATATCTTTTCACATCTACCTATCTATCTATCGATCTATCTACCTACCTACCTATCTACCTATCTATCGATCTAT